CTCTGTGCTGTGCTAAGTCTTTACTTTATAAAGTATCTACTTCAGGATATAAAAGCTATATCAGAGATGGGGCAGAAATTAAAGTAAAATAAAGCCAGATTATAGAGGGTGATGATCAGTTGAATAGGCTGATGAGCAGTTATTTTTATCCTGTAAGCAGCAGGGAATCATTTTGGCTTCTTGAGGAGGAACTTGATGCAAACAAACAACAAAGCTTATAGAAGAAAATAACAACAAAAATGATAATCCGAAGGAACGGCAGCAGTGATAGTTGTTTACTGGATGCTACAGGACTAAGCACTGTCTTAAGGGCTCTCCGGACTTCAGAGCGTGAGACTGGCGCAGCTCAGGAGGTCTGGGGCAGGGCTCCTCAAACTGCGGCCCGCGGGCCACATGCAGCTCTCAGAGGACGTTTATCCGGCCTGCCAGGTATTTTTGCCGCCGCTGCCTGTCCTGCTTAGCAGCCGACTGGTCCCGGGCCCACAGTGCGCATGTGTGGAATGTGCACCCCACTCTCCAATGGCCCTCCAACGGTCTGAGGGACAGTGAACTGGCTCCCTGTTTAAAAAGTTTGAGGACCCTGGGAGTGTTCTCTCCACTTCACAAGTGGTGGAACTGTTCAAAGAGGCCAAATAACTTGCCCAGAGTTACACAGCTGGTCCCCAGTGGAGATGAGATTCAACTCAGTGTGGTCAAAGCCTAGGTCTGTGCTCTTTTCAGTATACCATGAAATTCCTGGGTTGGAATGAGCTGAAACCAAAGGTAAGAAAAATAAATAGAAAGATATTGTTCAAATGTATAAGAATCCCAAGCGCCTGTGGTAGAGCACCAAACAATCAAAATCGGAAGTGTGAGGTGAACAGAGACAATCTGAAGGGAAAAAAGACAAAAGCTGAGGTTCCACTGAATGGACTGATGTGACTTGTGAGATGGGCCAGGCACTGCTTCCCAACAGCCCTTCCTGCTCATTTCCATGCAGGCGTCCACCCTTTCCGTGCAGCCTGTGAGCCGGTGGGCAAGTGGCTCCATCCTGAGCCTAGCAGCCTGAGTTCTACCCTTTGGCCACTTACTGGCTGAGGGATGGGCATGTCACCCAATCAAGGCCCATGAAAGCAAACAGAGGCTTGCCAGGGACTGTTGGAAAGCCTTCTTGCTTTTCTAAGAGGTCCTCTGAAAGGGATCTTCTTTCTCCTCAAATGTGCATGGGGACAGGAACAGTGCAGTTACTGCCCACGGTCTCATACCTGAGGGGCCAGCCCTCAGGTGTGACGCCAGTGCTGCCGCGGGCAGGCAGCAGGAGGTGGAAGGAAATGGGTGAACAAATCTGTCCTCTGTTCCAAGGCACTCTGTGGTAGGTTTCCTGTTACAACAGGAAGTCTCTGCAAGGTGTTGGTACCAGGCTCCTCTCCCCAAAGTCACTGTGCCATATACCTTCGTGGAGAACAAACAGAAACGTGAAAAACCTAGAGCCAGGAAAATGTTAATAGGACAAGTTCCTGCTGGACCACCACCACGGGAATGGGACGTGGGACGGCAACTAGGGATATAACGATGCAGCCAGCCAGCCAGCCACCGTCCTGGCCCGTAATCCTCCCAGGCTGCAGGGTCACAAGCATGTCTGCAGCTGCTCGTGTACCTACAGAATGCAGGCGGCAGGTGGCGCTACTCCGCAGGACCCACGTGGTTTTGGTCATGGAGAGGATTCTTTTCTTCTCATGCTAAGCCCTCTGATACATTTTGGTCCCACCAGGGTAAATGTCTTGATATTTCAAATATCAAGTATTATTCAAACCAGGGTATCTTCAATTCAAGCAATGAGTCAAAGTAACAAACACTGTTTGTCAAAAATGATCACTTTATTCATCTATACATATCATATATAAAAGCAGCAAAATCAGGACGTTTTCCTCTGCCACCCTTTCCACATTTTGTGTAGTTTCAGTGAACTATATATCATTGACTTCTTCATGCCTAAAAGAGAAAAGAAGACAGGGTGAGAAATGGAGGCTTGTTGAGTGGACGCTCAGAGTCCCAGTGACGCTCTGACCAAAGCCTTGGCTTTGGAGGCGCGGGGATGGGCTGACTAGTGGGCTCCTGGAGCCCAGGGAGAGGGAGGCCACTGAAGGTCACTGTGATCACCGTGTGGGGAAAGATTCTAGTGTAGGCACCTTCTGATTTGGTGACAGGAACGCCAATGGTACCTAAGTTACTAGTTCACTACCTAAGTGAACCTTTTGAGCTACGAGCATAGTGGCAGCCTTTGAATTTAGTGGCCCTTTTTGAGGAAGGTAGGACAAAAACAAGACTCCGTATGCCACTGGGCATGCTTGGCCCCATCCTCTCTCCCAGTGCCTGGATTCCAACTACCCCAGCTCACTGCTTCCACGTCGCTGTGTATGCCACTGGTCTGCCTATGGCGAATGCCATTCCCATCACCTTCTACCTAGTAGACTCAGAATCCTCTTGAAGAGTTCTTCTCTAGGAATTGCCTTCCTGGACTCCCAGGCTGGTCCCAGAGCACCTGTGCTCACCTGATACACTGTATAGTACTTGTCAGCTGACTCACCTGTCCCTCTGCCTGGACTGAGAGCTCCTGGAGGGCGGGAGCCTTGCCCTATTCATCTCTGTATCCCCAGTACATGGCAGGTGCTCAGTAAACCCTTTTGAAATGATGGGAGAAACGCACCTCACTCAGACAGCTGGCCCTCTAGCCCCCAACTACTTAGTCACGAGTGCACGATGAAACCAGAGCAGCATCTCTCTGGGGGCTTAGGAGAAAAAAGTAAAATGAGATAAAATAAGTGGGATGTTATTTGTTTGTCAGATTTAATAGGATCTTGTTGATGGATGTTATTGTGGATTTGACTTCCTTTGTGTTGAGGGTGAGATCACGTAGTCTGCATTTTAGGGTGTGGCCCAAAGATCTGAACAGTCCTTTTTCCCTGTGAGATGCAAATTGCAATTGGTGCCATGAGTCTGAAAATGCACACCCCTGGCGGTGCACTTTGGTAAGCACGCTGACGAGGTAACACAGTTTGTTCTGGAGATGGCCAGCACTGGGCTTTGTGTGATCTGGCCATGTTACCTGTAAACTGCATAGTATGCTTAGAGGCTTTGAAGAGCTACTGCAGACAGTAGCAGGACCGCAGTAAAATCATTAACGAACACGTCTACATACTCTGACTTGGCTTGTTTACTGGCTAACTACTTGCAAACCTACACAACCTAGTCAAGAAACTCAGAGCTCCTTTCCCTGCCCCTTTTAATTTTCTCCCTGGAGCAATCACTCTGGAAATCTCACCCACTGGAGCATTAAGACTGGAAACTCATTACGTAAGGTGCTTTTGAAAATTCTAGCCAGAACCAACCAAGGGACCAAGCGGAATACAGGTAGTTGCATGTGGTAAGGTTCAGTACAGCAACCCCAGGGCACTGAGTCATACCAGAGGAAGATGCACGAACCATGATAACTTAAAAAAACTGAAGGCCAGGCATGGTGGCTCACGCCTGTAATCCTAGCACTCTGGGAGGCCGAGGTGGGTGGATCACTTGAAGTCAAGAGTTCAAAACCAGCCTGTGCAAGAGCAAGATCCCGTCTCTACTAAAAATAGAAAGAAATTAATTGGCCAACTAAAAATATATAGAAAAAATTAGCCGGGCATGGTGGCACATGCCTGTCGTCCCAGCTCAGGAGGCTGAGGCAGGAGGATTGCTTGAGTCCAGGAGTCTGAGGTTGCTGTGAGCTAGGCTGATGCCACGGCACTCTAGCCAGGACGACAGAGTGAGACTCTGCCTCAAAAAAACAAAACACAAAAAACAAAAAAAACTGAGTCACAGGTCCCTTGGAGCTTACACATTTAAGGTAAATACAGAAACTGAATGTGCGTCACCATGTAGTCATTTTTTGCTGCTAGTGGACAGAAACCTCTCGACTAAAAACACTCCCCTTTTGATGGCTCTGCCAGCAAGATACCCTCCAGAAGACTGCAATAGGGAATTCTGTTAGAAAGAACACTGGGACAGGAGTCAAAGGGACCTGGATTCCCGTCCCAGATGGGCCATAAACTGACAGTGTGACTGCCCCTCCCGGGGCTTCAGCTTCTTCATCTACAAAATGACTGGGGGAGATTAGATTAGGGGTTCTCTAACAAGGGGCCCACAGCAAGGCTTGAATGTCAGTCTGTGAACTCCCTGAAACTACAGGAAACTCTGTGTATGTGCATATACCCACTTCTGTGCATACGGTCCACAGTTTTAGTCAGATTTTCAAAGGGATTGCAGATTTGCAAAAGGTTAAGAACCAACAGATTAGGACGAAGGGCCCTTTTTGCCTTAATATTCTAATTTCAACGAAGGTGGAGGGCTTAAACTTCGTGAATTTGGAATAGGTAAAACTTTCTTAAACAGGACACAAAAAAACTACTAACCATGAAAAACAAATGGATAAACTGGACTATGTAAAATTAAGAGCTTCTTTTCACCGGAAGACACCATAAGGGAGTGGAATGACAACTCCCAGAGTAGGGGATTCTTGCATTACATACATGCAACAAAGGATTTGTATCCACACTACATAGAGAATTCAGTAGGAAAAAAGTAGACAACTCAATAGAAAAATGAGCAAAAGACTAGAATAGACACTTCACAAAAGAGGATATATAAACAAACAAATTAAAAATGCTCAACTTCCTTAGTCATCAGGAAGATATAAACTAAAGCCCCAATACGGCCGGGTGCGGTGGCTCACGCCTGTAATCCTAGCACTCTGAGAGGCCGAGGCGGGCAGATTGCTCAAGGTCAGGAGTTCAAAACCAGCCTGAGCAAGAGCAAGACCCCGTCTCTACTATAAATAGAAAGAAATTAATTGGCCAACTAATATATATAGAAAAAATTAGCCGGGCATGGTGGCGCATGCCTGTAGTCCCAGCTACTCGGGAGGCTGAGGCAGCAGGATTGCTTGAGCCCAGGAGTTTGAGGTTGCTGTGAGCTAGGCTGACGCCATGGCACTCACTCTAGGCTGGGCAACAAAGCGAGACCCTGACTCAAAACAAACAAACAAACAAACAAAAGGCCCAATATGATACCGCTATTCTCCTATCAGAGTGCCTGAAATGAAAAAGACACATAATAGCAAGTATTGGCCAGGGAGGTACTACAAGAGGAACTTTGCTAGTGAGAGTGTAAATGTGGACAACTGGTTGGTAGTATCTACTAATGCTGAACATTCACATGCCTTATGATCCAGGAATTCTATCCCAAGTGTATACCTGACAGAAATGTATACCTAGGCTCACTAATAGATAGGAACAAAAATATTCATAGCAACACCACTTGAATAGTCCCAAGCTAGAAACCCAAGAATCCATCAATAGTGGAATGTATAAATTGTGGTATTCATATAATAGAATGCTGCATTGAGAATGAACTATTGCTATTCTCAACATGATGAATCATATTGATGTTATGAGGAGTGAAAGACACAAAGAGAACAATATATTTATGTAAGTTCAAAAATAGGCAAAAGAAGAACTATGGCCCTGGGAGGCAAGCTAGCACTCGCTCAGAGGAGCAGTGCCTGGCGGGTGCGGGGCTCTGGGGGTCGGCACAGCATTCTTTCTCTATCTGGGCACTACATCCGTGAGGTGTTCACTTTATGAAAAGTCACCAGATTTATGTGCACTTCTCTGTATATATGGAGATATTTCCTACTGCCAGAAGATGTAGCAACTTTCATTTACTCAGTCACACACGGAACAAGTGTGAACAAGCAAGGCACTGAGTAGTTATTCGGGATACTGGCATGACAACAGCTATGGTCTCCGCCCTCATAGAGTGCACGGTCCACACAATTCTACTTGGCTTACATGAAGCTTGCTCTTACTTTCAGCTTCCTTTCTGAAGAAAAGGTGGTGATTTAAGAATTCTGCACATCCTACAATCATTTAGAATGTGTTCCCTTCTAGGGAAGACAGCCTGCTAAGAGACAGACTTTACTCTGTGTCTGACCACCATCATCCTTTGCCCCTTCTGCACTGGATAAAGAGGAAACACCTCTTTAGAGGCATCCTCTTTACAGAGATCCTTATTTACCTAAAGCTAGTCATTATGAATTTTGATCAGCATCTAAAGTCAGAATTTTGTTTTAGAAGCATACAGAAATCTACTTCAATATATGGCTCTTAAGTTTTTTCTTTGGCTTTTTTTTAGCATGTTTCACATGGGCTACAGCAAAGCTGATGCACACGCAAGACTATATGACCTCCTCTGTGACCTTAAACAGACAGATCCACTGACAAAGAAATTCTCCAGGAAACGTGAGACAGAGATTTGACTAGGCTGTAAAATGTTTCTATTGTCCGATAATTTTATATTTCAAACCTTTCAGAGATAAAATTAGTAAGCCCCCAAACATTCTTCCAACCATAGTTAGACATATCTATAAAGAAAATCTCTTCTGAAGCAGAAATACAACTTACTTTAAGAACTTCAAGCTTAAGTGACAAGCAAATCACCACAAAGATCTTTAATATTTTTACATGTTCTTATTTAAATATGTAGGTACAAAAACTGGAAGAAACGCTTTAGTTATAAGAAATTAGAAGCAGAAGATAATGAATAATCCATTCTGTTGTGTTCTAGGCACCACGGGTAAGGATGAACCGAGGCATGCCAAAATCTTTTAAGGAACAAGACTAAACCTGTCTTGTTAATTCAGTCAAATCTTTTGAAGCTAGAGAGGTAAATAGGTATTTGCCCGCAGAGTTAATTGTGATTGACCACAAAGTCAGGTAGGGGAAAATAAAGCAAGATTTCAAAAATTAAACTCATCATCCTCATCCAACCTCCCACCCCTCAGGGAATGGTTCTATTGCTTTCCAAGCCAGAAACCTGGGATTTAGTTCCTCTTCTTTTCCCATCTCTCCTTCTGTTCCCAAGACCCAGTCATTTCCTTCTAAATACGCTGGCATCTCTTCTGTCTGTATAGCCTGAGGTTGAGTTCAGGTTGCTGTAATTCCTTACCTGGCTGGCTGCAATCACATCTAATTGGTCTCCCTAGCAATTTCTCTATTCTTTAGCTATAGTGGTCTTTCCCCAATCCTATAGCGGCTTCCCTCTGTCTTCTAAAGAAACTGAATTCCTTTATATGGCTTTTAAGGTCTTTCTTAGTCTGGCTCCTTCTTATCTCTCAGTCTAATCACTAACTCCCGCCCTTTGTCACCTACCTGTTCCCACACCAGAGTACTCAGGCAGTTCTACTTCTCTCCAATCAGGTTAGAAACTTTATATAATAAAAGGCTGCTGCTCAAAATGTGACAGTTTGCTCAGGTGGTCTTTGGTTCTGGGTCTGAGATGTGACGCCACCTGCTGCTCTGTGAGAGGGGCAGCAGACGAGCTGTAGGAGGCTGTACAGCGTGGCGCTTCTCCTGAACCAGCCGGCTCAGCCGCTCATCTGCTACCCTGAGGAGAATTATGTTATTCTACCAACAGTACCTGTTTAAGAGAAGTCAAGATTATTTTCTAAATAACCAGCTCCCAGGCTAAAGGAAAAGGAAAACAAGTATTTGGCTTTGGAAGCAATTCTCTGCTCACATTTGAACATGGGTATAATGTGATGGACAGGGGACTTCAAGGGAACGAACAAAGGCAGTGTGTCAACTGCGTGAGAACACACTGCCATGTTGTCCAACAGACTTCTCTAGGAAGGGCAATCCTCTGAGCTGGTTAGAGATGCCTGGCTTCCATCTTTCTAGGAATAGAGTGAGACTTAGCTCTAGACTCCTTCAAGTTTATAAGGCACCTGCTAGGTACTATACTGGATGCTCCTGATTAAGCCTCAGAACACCTTATGAGTAGGTATTAGTATCCCCACTACTTCCCAGAAGAGATTAAATCATACACTAAAGTTACAAGAGTGAAGAAATGAATAACTAGAACCTCAAACCCATGTCTTCTGACCCCAAGCTTAGCTCCTTCAGTTAGCTGATTCCCTGAATTTAACTGAATTTGACTATGGAAGGTATTCACTGGCTAAGGGGAAGGCCGAGTCTTCCTCTTTACGCATTATGAGCAGGAGGTTGCACAGGGGAGGAGTGACACTGGCTATAAAGGAATAAAACCAACCAAATATGCTGGAGTTTTCTCATCCTGCAGGTGATAGGTCAGTTGGCTGAAAAACGGAACAGGGACAGAATTTTGGAAATTTCAGAGAGAAGGATCTAACAAATGACAGAAACCAGCCATGCCTAAAAGGACTTGTAAAGGACAAGGTGCTGTGAGCACGAGGAAAGACAAACAGGTAAACCAGCCACTCTGTGCCTAGCACTGCTAGTGGGGCTGTATTATACTCTTCTGTTTTTTATAAGTCTGAATTTTTCTCTAATATATTATTTTTAAAAGATCCATCGCCCTCTCCACACACACCTACAACCTGCAGTGAGCCTTTGGTCCTTTCCACGCGTTCTTTCCATTCGCCAGCAGGGGGCAGTGGGTGAGAGGAGGTCCCCCTGGAGACCTGGGGAAGCGTCTGGTGCCATTTGAGTACGACAGTGTAAAGAGGCTTGTGTCAAAGAGAGGTAGGGAAACTTTTAGGTAATGAGACGAAAAGAGGAAAGACCAGGCACAGTGCTTTTATACGTCTTAAGATAAAATTTTCACAATCTGGTGAGGCAGGCATAATTTTCCTGTGAAATTAAAACTCAGAAAAATTAGGTAACTTGCCCCAGTCACAGTGGTTAAGTTGCAATCTGAACTCCAGTCTCTGGGGCTCACAACCCCCTGCCCTCAGCACCACGCTAGGTGGCCTCCGTCACAGACCGGGACCAGCATCAACAGAGGTGCCAGAGCATCAGGCAAATAAAGCCACAGAATTTGAAGGGGAGTGCGCCACTTTGCACGGTTTCTGTCACTGTGGACTTGCACAATCCAACGTGGCATCGTTAGAAGCAAAAGGGAAGCAAGTAGGAGGCACTGCAGGGCCCCACAGAGACCTGCACCGCGGGTTCCGGGACCCACTGCCCCCTGCTGGCGAATGGAAAGAACGCGTGGAAAGAGGACCAAAGGCTCACTGCAGGTTGGAGGTGCGTGTGGAGAGGGCGATGGATCTTTTAAAATCATGTATTAGAGAAAAATTCAGACTTATAAAAAACAGAAGAGTATAATACAGCCCCACGTATCTTCACCTAGCTTCAACAGTTTTTCAACTCATGGCCAATCTTGTGCCATGTACCCCTCACATACTGCCTTCACCATGTTTTATTCTGAAGCACATCCTGGATATCATATCATTTCATCTGGAAATATTTATTATGTATGTCTAAAAGAAAAAGGATTTAAAAAAACCCATAATGACACCATTATCACAACTAAAATTAATAATAATTCTAACAACTCCTTATAGCATGGGAAGCCAAAAATCTTAAAAACAAAACAAAACAAAACAATCATCAAGCTTCACCCAAGGAGGATCATGGCAAGGGAGTGGCAATCATGCAAACCACAGATTAACAGCCTGAATCACGCAAGCAAACAAAAGCACCTCATCTTCAGTCTTGCCAGGATAAGCCAGCAGAAACACAGATTAAATGAATATCTTAATTAGAATTGCAGAGCCATGCATTCCCTGAGTGGTAGGAAAGCCTTTACTTCAGTAGATTTGGCACAAATGCTACTGAATCTTTGTTAAATCTTTCCAAAGATTCAGGAGGGCAACAGTGCGTCCTTAGGGCCCAAATGCTCAGACGGGTATCCGAGCAGCCGGGCTGGAGACATTAAGAGGCGTGACCACACCAGCTCCCTAACCTAGGGATCAGAGTTGGGTTGAAAGGTCACTCCTTTTTTTTGGGTTACCTCTGTGCCATTTCTCCCCCTGTACTGAAAGTTTCTGTTAACACATTTGTCTCCCCTCCTAGACTGAAGTCCCTGGAAGGCAGAATGGCATTTTGTTCACCTCTGCATCCTGAGAGTGGCTAGCACATGAGAGATGCGCAATACATGGTTACACGAAGGAAGACTGAACTAGAAAAAGCAACTGCTTAATGATATCCACTGCTGGAAAGAATGGGGAGAAACTATATAGGAAGAGGGAAGGATGGGAAGGTGAGGATATGGGGTGAACAGTGGGAACAAGAGTTGAATTTAACCCCCCATAGGGAGAAGCCAATAGATGGTGCCTAAACTTGAAAAGTAGAGAAGGAACATTAAAAAGTTATCTAAAGAAATGGCAGCAAACCCAAAAATAACTCACACTAAGAGACTGGAAGTAGTTGTCTCTAAAGAAGGGAAAGAGGTGAGGGAGCCCAGGTAATGTGTTTTTGCAATGCTTTTCATTTGCTAAATGTAAAAATAGGAGGAAAAAACTCTGCACACAAGGAGTTATTGAGAAAGTTTAGAGGAGCAGTAAAGACTTCCAACAGTACCTCAAATGGTCTAATTTTGTTAGACTATCAGACTATGCTACAGTTATGCCTGTTCGTATATTATTGCAATATTTTAGTTAATGACTGTTAATACTCAGCATTTCACAAGTACTTAAAAGATACACATAAAGCCTCACAATGTAACCAAGAGCATCACACAAGTCAATCCAGCAGGTACATTATGCATGGGTTTTTCTAGAGTTCTTACCAGCAGTAAAAATGCCTTTGGTACTCTGTCTTATACTAGAACGTCTCACGATTGCCGAAAGTCCTGTGAGAAAAAAAACAAAAAGGATACCAAAAATCCCCAAACAGATGTTAATCATCTTAACAGTTTCAAAACCTGAAACTAAATATTTTTTCCAGTCAGCCAATAAAACCAGCAAATATGTCTCTGTTTTGGTGTCAGACAGTGATGGTGAAAAGGGTGTCAGGGTTGAGGGCCAGGAGACCGGTGTGGCTAGCTGTGCCACCGCTTGACTCTGTGGGCAGATCATATGAATGAACTGCTGTAGGCCTGGGCCTAGGCCCCTTCCCTTAAAATAAGAGTCATGGGGCTAGGCAACCCTCAAAGGTCATTTTATGACTTTAAATCTGCTTAAGACCTCTGCTGTTCAATTTTAAGATGTGAAAAGATAAAAAACCAAATGTTTTTATCTATGTTTCGAAAAACTTTCATTCTAAAAGGCACACATGGGCTTCTCCAGTGAGGAGCGAAAGTACAAGTCTTTCATTCCCTCTAGAAGACAGCAGAGATCTCACTGTTGCCAGGATCAGGTGAAAACAAACCACCACGTCCAAACGGCGTGTCCCCTACAGGTCTGTCTTCAGAATAGGAAGCTGGTGCCCTAAACATACGCTCTGAAAACCTGGTGCAGGTCCGTGAGAGAGTGAGAGGGGCGCGGCCTATCACGGCCAATGTTCAACTGCAGTTTAATGTTCAACGTCACCACGTCACATCCAGCACAGTGGCGGGCACCCTGGAGGAGCTCAGTAAGTATTTGCTAAATGAAAACAGGAGAATGTACTCATTTGGGGGAGGGAGTCATTCTCAATTTCATAATTCATTCTTTACTGACTGACCTCGTAAATTACTTCAGCACCTCCCAGGGAAGTGGGTATATGAAGATAAAGTTCAGTTCTGAAGAACATTCGGGAGGTGCTGGGGCCAACGCCGTGGAGCCTGGGCTGGGCCAAGGGAACTTGCGCAGGCTGCGAGAGACAGAGCCAGCGGGCTGGCTGGTGAAAGCTGTGTTCTAGAGGTTACAGAAGCGTTCAAATCCCACCAACCTCTCCTTCTCAGACCACCACAAAGAACACAGACACATCTTTTAAATAACTTCTAGAAGTTATGCTCTTAGAACCAAAGAAACATGGTTTCTCCCTTTGACAGTGACTTAGGATCCAGGAATCTGAAAACAGAAGTATTCCCACCACCGTACTTCAAACAATTACAAATTTAGATTTGGAAAAACCCCAAATTTTTAGTGCTTTCTTCTTCCTAGAGGCAATCTCTCTCTCAATCTCGCTAGGCAAGAAGGGAGAAATAACTGAAATAATCTCAGTCACAAACGGCATCTGCTTTTCCCGCGGACAGCACTTCCTCAGCTAACCCGCACCGACATACCCAGTCGCACCACATCGCCACAGTCCGGGTCATGCGCAACTTGGAATAGAGTCTCTTCCACATCTCTGTTTTTCCCAGGAGGGTCCGTGATATGATTTATCTGTTGCTGTAAGGTTTTGGGCAATGTCATTAGCTGAGTGAATTGTCCTTCTGGGCTTTTATCTATCTGAGGAAAAAAAGAAGATGACAGCTATGGAAGTGCTTTGAATTCTATAAATATTCAAAGACACAGTGCTTCTATTCAAAATCACACAGACACGTATGCACCCATATCCCTGGTTAAGCAGCATGCTAAGGAGACTCTCTCTCCTTTCTGAAACTGAATGTGTAGGTGTTCAGGAGTCTAAGTCCTTTCAAAAAGGACTATTCTTTTCCTATAATATTCCATTTCTACAATCTTCTTTCAAGGATACATTTCTGATGTTCAGTTTTAAAATTTCTATTTGTCTTAAATCCACAGTCAAAGGAAGTGTGGCTATAGCTAAGATTCATCAAAGTCCTACCAAATCCAGGCACTCATATTATCCCACTTTAAATGCAGGGGGACTGAGTAACATGCCCAGGATCATACAGTCAGTAGCAGAGAATGGGATGTGATTTAGCGTCTCCTGCCCTTAGGGCCTTTTACATACCATGCTGTATTTCACAAACTGTAGGAATATACTGGTGACACAGACTAATTTATTAACTTTCAATCCCCTGACATATAGTAGGTACTCAAAAAACATTAGTAGAATAAGGAAATGAATAATTGAATCAATACAACTTAGTTGTCATCATTTTTTAAATGGGAGTAAGTTACGCCAGTGGTTTCTACTTCCAATGTATTTATTGTAAAAAACATTAAGCTGTTGAAAGAAAAATATAGAAATAAAACATATATAAAACTATACATCAGACTTTACTTGGAAATCCCTGAATCAAAAGTTAGCCACAGAGCTGAGGCCAGACCAAGTTTTCTAAACTCCCAACCTAATATACTTTGCCTCATGGAATTTTTAAAAAATCACGTAAACACTGCCTGCCAAATGCAGAACCAATAACACTGCCCTCAACAGCTCAGCACAGTATTTTCCAAGTAGGAATCTGTTTTGTATTCTTTTAATATTAGCTCACTAAATATGAAATGTCCGATTTTGAATCAAAAGTGTAGTTTATTACATGTCAGACAAGAAGCAGTACAGTTAGTCAAAGTATGTGCCTAAACTATCAACACAGTTTTGCCATCTCAATGGTAGCTTGCGTATGCCAACAGTGAAGCCTGGAGAGCAAGTGGTGATGAAATTGTGAAAGGCGCTTTCCACAGCTTGTTGAGAATTGAGTATTTTTCCTTGTGAGAAGTGGTCAAAGCCTGGAAGAAGTGGTAGTCAGTTGGTCCGAGGTCTGGTGAACACAGTGCGTGACAGAATGTTTCCAGGTCCAGCTGCTGTAGTTTGAGCAGCATTGTTTGTGTGACATGTGGTTGAGCATTGTTTTATAAGAGGATTGGCCTGTCTCTATTGACCAAACTCAGCTGCTCAATCGCAAGCATCCTCATCATTTCATCCAATTGGTTGCAGCAGATAGCCACTATAATCGACTGACCAGGTTTCATGAAGCTGCAGTGGTTAATAACAGCGCTGGACCACCAAACAGACACCATTAGCTTTTTCTGATGAACATTTGGTTTTGGACTGTGTTTCAGCACTTCATCTTTGTCCAACTATTGTGCTGAATGCTTGCGACTGTCAAAGAGAATCAATTTTTGAGGCAAGATGGCTGACCTGAGACACCAGCTGCCAGAGGGTGTCAGCAAGAAGTTTTAGATGACAGAGAAAAAAATAGATTGGGGTCTGAAAAACGGATAGATGTGGGTCTGAAGGAAGGGTGCCAGAACCGTCTGGAGGCTCCACGAGAAGAAGCTGAGGTGCAGAACAAGAAGGAGCAAAGTATCGGCAAAGATCAACCCCCAAGAGGCTTGGAGTCCAGAGAGAAGGGTAGGTGGAGCAGTCTGTTTCTCCCTCCCTCACATCTCTGACAGTCGGTAGGTTCTTGAGCGGCTGGAGAGACTTGTTGCTCACACGTGCCTGGAGGTTGCTGCCACCAGTGAGCTGGGAGCTTCTGTGGACAAGACACCAGGCTCCCAGCCCCCTGGGGCGCTTTCCACCCCACAGACCCCAGCTGGGACAGCAGGTGCCATATTGCTTCTCAAACACCATGTGCCTTTGTTCTCCTCAGGTTTCATCTTGTTTGTTCCCAACTCTGGCCTAGACTGCAGGAGCCACAGGAGTCCAGTGGGTCCTGGGTAATCTGCGTGACACTAGAGGCTGGACATTCTAGGCAGACTGCCTCCCGCAGAGAGGGTTAGAGACCACCACAGTGGTCTTTTCTTCCCCTTCCCCTCCCCTCCATGGCTGCTGAGAGACACAACTGAGCCACACCACGGCTTCCACAGAGAGTGGGGCTCAGGTCTTTCCTCTTGGGGTCTTACAGCTCAGTCTGTGAGCTCCCTGCTCACTGGCCCTCACTAGTGCTGCTTGCCAAGTTGTTCCATCAAAGTGGGGCATGTCACAATGTGGAGGGACATCGATCCAGCTTGGGTACCCAGTGGGTGACTTGGGACCAGAGTACTTCTCCCTGGCATGGTCTGGGATTGATCTTCTTGGTCTTTGGAGGGGAGGGAGTCCACATGGGCAGATCTAGGGGGACAGTGCAGAGTGAGTCCTAGTTGCAGCATGCTCGAGAGGCAACCCTTCCCCAATGGAGGGGTCTCACTGCCGGCAGATATCTGGGAGGCAGATGGGAGAACCATGGGAGAGAGGAGGCAGGAGAGGAGTGAGGCCCACTGCAGACTGCCAGACTGTGAATCTCAGATGGCCCCTCCTGCACAAGCAAACTTTCTAGTTGGGTAGGGCCACTTCAGCCTCTCCCTGGTAGCTTTGCCCAGGAGCTGGGAACAGACCTTTGACCCCTGCAAAAACAGCTACCTAACCTAACAGCTACTTTACCTTACCTAAACAGCTTCTGTAGAGCTTGAGGGCAGGCTCACCCAGCAAAGCCCCGCCCAGACACACTCCCTCACCCGCCTCTGCTATGGCAGAGAATAAGCACTCACCTGGAAGTTCCAGGGCCCACCCACCACCTGGGGCATTCAAGTGCTTCTCCTGAGGGACTAGAGCTGGTCATGGGATGCAAAAACAACATTGCAGCTTGTTCCTTCCAGCAAGCGCCATCTACTGACAGGGAGCTCAATTTGCACGGCCTTTACATTTACTAACTCAATTTTGCAGGGGTGAGGGGGTCTAAGGAGTGGCCATTTGGGGAAGTGCCTACCCCTCCCCACAGAAAAACTGTGCTACTGGATAATGGTCGAAGGAACCCACTCTGGTACCTTAGCATACAAGCATTTAGCCCCCTCCTCCGTGAATAGCCCTCCCTGTTAGGAGAGCCTGTCCTAACCCTCCTACCAGAGACTCCCCCTAGTGGCCAGAAAATCAACTTCTGATCCATGTCAAGGTTTTCCAAAGCCTTTCAGACTCCCACAATCCAGCCATGGTTTGTCTTGCTCCTTCCTCCAACTCAGAGGGAGTAGAGCTACAGAGTTCCTCCCTAAAGCATTTGTATGCCCCACCTGGGAACCAAGGCTTACCATGGGCACAAAAGACCTTCTCGGCAGCTTGCTTCTCCATGCAAACATCAATCAATGACAGGGGAAACAATCCCATAGCTAAGCATAGTGCCACCCAACTCAAGCAAACAGGAAACAGCTGATTCATAATCAAAAGCATCACCTACCATCACCAAGATTAAGGCAGGGACCTAACTCACTGCACACTGTTGGGAAGAGGTAAAGATAGTAGATCACAGGTAACTCAAGAAGATCACCAAATGTGCTAGAACATCCCATAAGCAACTCAGGATCAGCAGTCCTCTCCCAGGCATGCTCAAGGATTGATCTTTGAGGACTTAGAGACAGGCCTGTAAGTCAGGCCTAGCACCCACAGGTCTCAACTGAGAGGCCAGAAGAGAAGGAGTCAGTGAAAGAACTCTGGAAACATGAAAAATGAGAGGGAAAGGATGCCCCACAAATAAAACAACTCCTTACCAACTGATAGCAACTATACCGAAAAGACTGAAATGACAGATGAAGCATTTTCAATATGGATTGTAAGGAAGCTCAATGAAATACAAGAAAAAATAAAAACGCAACACAAAGAAACCATAAAAACAATGCAGGAAATGAATGAAAAATGTACTAAGGAAATTGAATTATTAAAATAAAATCAAACAGAGCTTCTGGAAATGAAAAATTCATTTAAGGAAATACAAAACACAGTAGAAAGCCTTAAGAATAGGCTAGATCAGGCAGAAGAAAGAATTTCAGAGCTTGAAGACAACACCTATGAGTCAAAGAGAAAGAACTGAGAAATAATAGGAATAAACAAAATCTACAAGAAATATGGGATTGTGTAAAGAGGACTAACATAAGAATCAAAGGCATCCATGAGGGCAAAGGAGAAAATACACAGGGGTTGGAAAACCTATTTGAGGGAATAATTGAGAAGAACTTCTCTTATCTTGCTAGAAATCTACACATCCAAGTACAAGAAGCTCAAAGGACCCCTGGGAGATTCATTCATTGCGAAGAAGCAATCACTATGATAAACAGTCATCATACTGGTCAAAGTAAACATGAAATAGGCACTTCTATGAGCCCTAAGGCGAAAACAATAGGTAACTTACAAAAGAAGAGCCATCAAACTAACTGCACATTTCTCAACTAAGACTTTACAAGCCAGAAGGGACTGTGGCTCCATTTTCAGTCTTCCCAAACAGAATAATGGCCAGCCTAGAATTTTGTAGCATGTAAAATTAAGTTTCTTAGATGAGGGAGAAATAAAGACTTTCTCAGACAAGCAAACACTGAGAGAATTTGTCAAGACCAAACCTGCCCTGCAGGAAGTACTCAGAACTGCATTATACAAGACTCGGCACAATAGTCACCCATTGCTGTAAAATCACCCAAAAGCTAAAGCTCAGAGTCCATATACCATAATGGCTCAAGTGGTAAAATAAAGCAATAAAGTTCTCAACATGAACAAAAATCCACCCCACTTATCAATTCTTTCAATAAATGTGAAGGCTCGAACTGGCCACTCAAGAGACATAGGCTGGCTGAATGGATTA